GGTCTTGATGTTCATCACAGCCACAGAAAGCAAACTAGAACAGATGTCTAAACACCATCAAATCAGAGCCCAAAACATCCTGAAGAGATGATGGGAGTATCCCAGTCAAGAGAGCAAACTAAAGCAAAACTTGAGTGAGGAAGCCCATTTTGGGGGCAGCCAGCTGGAGTTCTCCCTCAAGAGTCCTGGGCAGAGCAGCATGTTGCATCGAGTGAGGCTTTCAAGTAAATGATCAGATAACAGCAAAAAGAGATGTCAGATAGAGTTGCTATGAATGACTTCCACAGCATGCTGGGAGAGTCCCAAATGCTCTGGAATGTTGTCCTTGTGACTATCGGTATTGACCCAGGCTGAAGGTGCAATTCAGTGGCGCATGGGCAAGAATCTGAGATAGATTGCAGGGGAAAAGTTAAAATAAAAAATAAATAATTGCTAAAGACGAAATACAAACAGCCAATAAACAAACATGTGAAAAGATGTTTCGCCTCACTTGCCATCAGAAAAACGCTAACTCAAACCACAGAGATCACAGAGACTGGTGGATTCCATCCATATCCATCCCCCCCCCGTCAGAGCAGAAGTCACCGAGAGAACAAGCATCGGCAGTGACGTGGGCAGAAAGGAGCTCTTGTGCACTGCCGGCAGGAATGTGAACCGCGCCAGCCACTCTGGAAATGAGTGTGGAGGTTTCTGAAAACACTCACAGGTCACAATACGACAGCCACGGCACTGCTGGGTTCTTAGCCTACGTGTCACAGAGACACAGTGTATCGGAGTTTACCGCATCACCAGGCACCACACTCACTTTATGGAGCCAACCTAGATGCCACCAACAGGGGACCAGATAAAGAAAGTGGGGGTACCTATATACCATGTGGTGTATGCATACAATAGTATATATTCACCCCTAAAGAAAACTGAACTTACGCTGCTTGTAGGAAAATGGAAGCAACTGAAAATAATCTCAGTGAGCAAAGTCAGTCAGTCTCGGGAAGATAGATATCATGTTTTCCCTCGTTTCTGTTTCTGTTTTGTAGACTTACAAAACACTCATTTATGTGTATATAAAATGAAAGTGTTTAGGGGAACAAATGAGACAGATAGGAGAAAAGGAACAGTATAAGGGGTAGGGGATGCACTCATAATACAAGACACACCCACTGAAAATACTACAAACTTACTGCATAATACAAGACACACCCACTGAAAATACTACAAACTTACTGCACACCTACATACACCACTGAGGGTCGAGGGGGCTAGGGAGGTGGAACAGTATAGTCCCAGCTGGCCTTTTCCCAGGTAGCAGGAATAAATTCCAATTTTTAAATTAGAAATGACACTACACTGTGTAAGTGCTTTCCGATTTCACTGAAACGCCAACAGGACAGGGCTAAGAAGGCCACTTACTCAGAAGAGTGTCTGACATACAAGCATGGGGACCTGTGCTTGGGTCCCTGCATGCACGTAAAAAGCTTGATAGGGTTGCACATGCCTGTCATCTCAGCATTGGACAGTGGCTGGAATATCCCTGGGGCCTTCTGGTCAACCAGCCTAGCCCAGGTAGTGAGGTGCAGCTTCAGTGAGACATCTGGTCTCAAAAAATAAGGAAAGGAACTGAGACAAGCATCCAACACACACACACACACACACACACACACACACACACACACGCACGCACGCACGCACACACACAACACACACTCACACACACACTCACATACACACTCACACACACTCACACACACTCACACAACACACACTCACATACATATACACACGTACACACTCACATACACACTCACACACATCACACACACTCACACACATCACACACACCACACACACATGCACACACCCAACACACACACATATACTTCCCCACACACACCACACACAGACATTCCCACACACACATAACACACAGACATTCACACACATACAACACACACAGACATTCACACACACATAACACCCACAGACATTCACACACATACACAGACATTCACACACACATATAACACACATAGACATTCATACACACAGACATTCACACATACATAACACACACAGACATTCATAAACACAGACATTCACACACACACAAACACACACCACACACACACCACACACACACCCAACACACACCCAACACAACACACACACTCCTCCCACACACCACACACACACACCCAACATACACACCCAACACAACACACACACTCCCCCCACACCACACACACATACAACACACACAATACACAACACACAAACACATACAATACACACACCAAACACACACACCCAACACACATATACCCAATAATACAACACACACTCACACACCATACATACCCGCACACACATGGACACACACCCCAATACAAACTGGATATGACTGTTTTGCTGGCTCTACTGGACTCTCTGTCTCCTCTCAGGCAAATCATAGGAAGTGCAGCAGTCCTCAGGCCCCATTACCACACTGGGATTCTGGTTCACTAAGCCAAGGGTAGACCTAACCATGCTTACTTCTAGGCTGTTCTCAGGTTCCATCGGTGCTGCTGGCCTCACTTTGGAAAGCACCTGTTCAGCCGCAGGTCTGTCTTTGTGTTCTCTGAAGGTACTAAATTTTGTCCTACCTCGGGATCCTTGCACAGGCTGCTCTCTGTCATGATATTCCCCTGCCTTTTATCTCTCCTCTGGCTTCTCTTCAAATTAATGTCCTATTCCCTAAAAATGGGACTCTCAGTTATCTGCCTCTTTTGATGCTAGTTACGTGTTCCATCAATTAGGATCACTGTCCGTGGCCTGTGTCCGCCACCAACGTGGCTTGTGACTGAACATGTAAACCTACTTTCACCACCAACTCCACACGGTACCGGTACACGGCGAGCAAGGGGCAGGCTCAGAGTGGGGAGAGCCACAAAGGAACAGGGTGCCTGACATCAAGGACCTTCCAGTCCAGGATGCCGAGTCCAGGGCCCAGGACAAGACAATTACCACCGTCATCCACTCCTCAGGCGTTAGCCTCCACACACAGCAAACCTCCCTCAGCAGCAGCTACCAGCTTATGAACTCAGGGCTCACCTGAGCCCTGCTCCCTCAGCCAGCATCCTGGCAGCTGTTTGCAGCTGGCTTTGCCTCTCATCCTTCGAGGCTGGATGGATCGCCCTCTTTCTGCAGACACCTCCTGCTCAGTTTGGTGTATCACCCCAAGCTTCTGAAGCGTGACTGGAAAGGCACACCCTCCAACTGGCTTCATCTGGGATCCTGCGGTAGTGTGAGCCAGCGTTTAGCCTCTTGGTGCTCTGAACAGCAATGCAAGCAAGATTCATTTCCAGATGCTCAGCCGAAGTCCAGTATCCCTGTTTGTTTGTTTGTTTCTACTCTGTATATTTCATGAAAAGCACCCGTGTCCCAGGCAGTAGCAGATAATCACATCTTAAACTGCCAAAGAAGACCATTCCGAGGCCTAAGTGGAGGAGCACCTGATAGCAAAGACGGATGGCAGTGGCCTGGCCCCACATAAGAGTTCAGCTAAGGCACAGAAGTGATGGGAGTCAACCAATGGCTGCAGATGGGCTCGCTTGCCTTTTCTGGATGGCTGGTCCTGGCCTTGTGCAGGCAACACAGCGTAAGGCAGTTGCTTAAAAGGGTAAAGTGCTTCTTAGAAAAGGGTTCAGATGGGGGCCTTAAAAGACAGCTGGAGGAAAGAGATCTGCAGGGAATCTGAGGATGTGTAAGGCCCCCGCCTCTGCTCCAGGCTAGTCAGATGGCTTCAGGAGTCCCAAGTGGCTCAAGAGATATCCAGTGAGGTCTCATGTCACACTCTGGGAGCATCTCACACCGGCCTGAGGGAGTGATGTGACCACTGCAGACAGGGAATGACAAGCAGGCATTTAGGCTGGATCCTCCTGGTAGGTGTGGGAGGAAGCATCTATGGGGGCCCTGGGGGAGGAGGGCAGGGCTCCTGCCTGGGCTCTGCTAGGGTAGAGGGCTTTCTGGATTGAGTGACAGTGCCCAGCAAGCTTTGGTGGGGTCGGTGTGGCTGATGTTTAGTTAAGACAAGGCCTAAGCTTTTCCATAGATAACACACATTTCAGGTTGATGAAAGCTGTTCCTGAAGGTGTTAAGATCATAGGTTTGAAGCTGGGTGGTGGTGGTCCACACCTTTAGTCCCAGCACTTGGGAGGCAGGCGGATCTCTGTGAGTTCAAGGCCAGCCTGGTCTTCAAAGAGAGTTCCAGGACAGTCTCCAAAGCAATACAGAGAAACCCTGCCTCAAAAAAACAAAAAAAAAAAATCATAGGTTTGACATCCACATTCCAAAAAGCATTAGTGTGCCAGGTGGTGGTGGGTGGTGGCGCACGCCTTTAATCCCAGCACTCAGGAGGCAGAGGCAGGTGGGTTTCTGTGAGTTCAAGGCTAGCCTGGTCTACAGAGTGAGTTCCAGGACAGCCAGGACTACACAGAGAAACCCTGTCTCGGAAGAAAAAAAAGTGTTAGCATGGATGGGATCCTGGCAATATTTGCATAGCATATAATTGAAAGATCAGTTTCCTTGAGGTCATTAAATGCTTACCGGGACTTTGCCAGGGACCCACCCGTGGCCCTCTGAGATATTACAGCTTTCCCATGCCTCCAGTCCTGCAGCTGTTGCCCGACATCTTACTCTGTTTTTCTTTATCTCCAGGCAGCCTCCATGCTTTTGTTCTGAATACCCATAACTGCCGCTCACAGAGGCATGAGGAATGAAGGAGGGTGGGGATACACCTGGTGGCTGCTCTCCAAATCCACACCGGCATTAACACAATAAGCATGGACAATGAGATGCGGCTGTTACCACCCATCTCTGGACTCAGGGTGGGAACCTGGCTAGGAGGAAAGCATGGTGGTGCTCCTTGGTAACCTCAGTCCCTGGGAGGTTGAGGCCAACCTGGGCTACAGAGTAGGCCCTTGTTACTGCTCCCAAGACAGAAGGAAACAGAAGGGTCAGGCAGGTAAAAGGGGCAGACAGAGATAGGTCTCCATCCTGTGAGCTTCTTGTATGCTTTGTGTTGCGGGGCTGAGTTAACCTGGGGAGAGCCGCAAAGCTCTCTGTTCACAGGACAGCGACGAGAGAAGACATTACTAAGTGACAACGACTGCTTGTGTCAGACACCTTCACGTTATTTGACCTGGATGACAAACCTCCATCCACCCCGCTGAGCATGCCCGTTGCAGCCACCGCTGCCTGGAATGAGGGGTGTTTGCCTGTCGCATGGGGCTCTGTGCTTGAGAAAGGGGAATTCATGCCACGTGAGGAGAGCGGTCGATGGCTCCACCCTGCCTTCAACCACACCAATGAAGTCAGGCCAGTGCTTGATTGAGTTGTGAGGGATGGAGCTGCGTAGCACATGCAGGGAAATCTTGTTAACTCAAAACACAGGAGACCAGACATTAATTCCAAAGTCAAAACAAGATTGGGAATGGGCTGCTTTGAGATGTTTTTATTAACAGGGCGTTTTGTCAGCTGGGAAACAGCAAAGGTTCTGAATTATGTGCTGTTTGAGGAAGCCATTAGTGGATTAGCAGACTTTCCTCCCCCATTTATGCTGTGGGACATAACAAATGACTTCAGGGCTTAACACCCATGCTTTTCTTGAGCCATTCTGGCTGGAGAAGGATGGATGGAGCCAGTTCCTTGCTACCAAATGGTTTCCTTCAGCTTGCGATTTTAGGGGTCTGGTCTTAGATGCTGAGACCAGGGGACGGGGGCGGGGTACTGCTGGCTGCACGTCACTGTGTCACTGACGATTGCAGCTGGCCTTCCGCATGGAAACTCAGGTCCTAAGCAGTGTTGTGAGAACTCAGAAGAGACTCATCAAAACCTGATGCCCTGTTACCAGTGGCCCCATGGCTCAAACAAGAGGCCCAGTGGTCATCCCAGTTCCCTGTCCCAACCACGTCTGTCATCCTGGAATGCCTCTTTTCTCCCCAACACATTGGCAGCTGCGTTTGTTTCTACAGGGTCCCAGTAGCTGGAAATGATGCCATTCTCAGTTCGCATAACCTCCCAGGAGACGTGAGTAAAGGCTCGCTGATGCCCTTTCCCATGCTTTCTGGGTAGTTCTCACCATCACTGTGCAAAGCACAACTCTCAACTCTTCAAGCTGCAGGACAGAAGTCTGCAGAAGGAACGAGGGGATGATTTTCAGTCCTCTGTCCTATTTCAGCCATACTCTTGTTCTGGGCCAGGCACTGGACACAGAAGGCGCATGTCCAGCCCTTGCCTTAGTATGCAGAGCCCCCCCCTCCCCCGGCCAGGAGGCAGAGGTGGACAGAGACTGTGATCATAGAGATTACAGTAGCACCTACTCATCCCCTGTGTGTGCCCTCCCCTTCATGCATACTTACTTTCCCTGGTTCTTCCTTATCTCTCGGTCAACACTGGGTAGTGGCTCTCCCGTGCTGGGGAGGGAAGGGGAGGCAGTGTCAGTGGAAGAGGCTTCCCTGAGCTCACCAGCTCTCCCTGAGTGGATCCTGAACACAGCTGTCATTTACTGGCTCCTACCTGTCAAACAAGTTCTCCATAGATCCCACAGGAGATGTCTCAAGATTCTTCCACACTACTTGCACCCTTGGACAAGGCCACGTGTCTTTCCTCCCCAAACTAGGGGCAAACTCTCCAATGACTTATTAGGTCCAGGGCCGGAGGACAGAGGTAGGAAAACCAAAAGTAATCACTCAATTTCAGGCCTGCTTAGGGCTAAGTGAATTTAATAATCTATAGATCGTGTTATACAAATCGCATTTCACAGTTTTACAAACTGGCCCCACACTGTGCACGGTCCTGGGTGGCTTATTTTACAAATAAATCGGCAGGCTCTGAACAGCTCTATTTCCTCAGTGATCACTCTGGGAGAACAGAGTGACTCTGGCTGCCCTCTCTCCCTCCTCTGTAGACCATTCATTTACTGCCAAAGAGGCTTTACTTATAAAGCTAATTCTTATGTGAACAAAGGAAAAATGATGTCATTTATTGAGTGCTGGTAATATGACAGGCCATGAGTAACACGTTCTATATACATTATGCACTTGGCACTGACAGTATGAAGTAAAGGGTATCATGCCATTTTACAGATGGAGAATCTGCAGATCAGCAGGACTCCAGGCTGAGTCAAGGTCATGGAACTGATACCCACAGCTCAGACTCCATAAAACAAAACTCCAGTTAAGTAAAAAGTGCCCTCCCCAAGGAGATCCGTGGGCCAGCATCCTTGCACAGAGTGGATCTGGGCTGGAGGGAGGCTACGGCCCGCGGTGTGTCCTGGCACTAGGACTCCTACAGTAACCCTTTGTCTTTGGGTTCCAACTCTGAGCATGCTGCTTATATTCTGATGCACGCAGTTGGGGTGCCTGAGTCACACGGTTGTACCAAGTGTCTTTAACCACTCACCCACGGGTGAATCTGGGTGCCTGGTTGTTTGGCCTTAAAGGAGGGGAGGCAGGGTAGTCTGGATAGCTATGTTCTGAGCACAGGTAGGGGTGGAGTCCTATGCCTCATCTCTCATGGCTCACTGCAAGAACCCAGTAGAAGTCCATGGAACATCAAGGACAATGAAGGCAGCACAATTCCTGCTTGGTCCAGGAAGAGCCCTCCCTGCTGTCCTCTGACAGCAGGGAAAGAGACGATTGGTTGTCTGCCCATGAGGTAAGCTCACATTCTAAGTTGGGGCTGCCTGATATCTACCCTTGCTATTTGCCAGGAGAAACACTGGCGCCGAAGAATAGGATTTCAATGTTTGCCCTTGCTTCCTCTACACTCCTGGATAATGAGAATTCCTATCCCTACGTAACAGGTTGGGCCGCCGAGGTTAAGTGCTTTCGTTTTGGCGTGTCTCAGGAAGTAGTGGAGCTGGGGTTGAAACCCATCTGCTAGATTCCAAAGCTCAGACTTAACTTAGACTTGGAACTCTCACCTCACACATCCATTCACAGCCAGAGAGAGGAGTGGGAATATGAAGCAGTTTGGGATGGGAGTCTTGTGCTTTTCCATAGGCCTTTGTGGTGGGGGTAGGGCTTGGCACCCTAAATGGCACAGTGGGTGGAGTCAGGGGGAATCTAGGACTCCATCAGGCCCACTCCCTGCCTCACAGGTGCTGGATTCTCTGCCCACTCTTAATGCCCCTTCCTTGGAAAGAAGTTGACTCACGGGTAATTGGAGGGCTCCCCAAGTTCTCAGGAGGCCAAGATAATAAGGGCTCTGCCTCCATCAGGTCCAGACTGTAGGGACATCTGTCCTATCAGGTTTCCATACAGATCATGTCCAGAGACACGATGGACAAAAGGACACAGACCCTCACAATGACCTGCTTTTCTCTCCCTCCAGACTCTAGTTCCCAGAGCCCTAATGCATTCTGCAGTTCAGTTTTCTGCAGGGATGAAAACTCTGGTGGGCAGTGTCTGAGATGAAGTCCTTATTCTTGTCATCAAACCCCTAAAGTGCCCATCGATCCCCTGCTACCACCTGGCAGGCTGGAAACAGCTGACCAAGAGACGTAAACGCCCCTCAAATGCCCCAAACTCTGACCTGGAGAGCCGTCCGCGGAAGCAGACAAATCCAGACTTGTGCCAACTTTCATTTAAACCAAACAGCCCCAGACCCTGTTCCTGGGCTGGCTGGGCCTTGGTAAATGACACAACCACATAGCAGAAGAGCCAGAGGGAAGCAGGGAAGGATGCAAAAGCAGCACTGAGATTGCTCTCATCCTCTTTCAAAAACTCAAGGAAGCAGGGGTCAGAGCTGTGGCTCTATTGTGTGTGAGGGTGTCTTAGCCAGGAGAGCTCAGATCCCTGGTCCTTCCAAAAGGCCTTTTCAACCCATTTCCAAGTTCTGTCTTAAGGAGAGTAGAGGTGGACAAATAAATGATCAGGCTGTCATTTTCTTGGTACTAACCCCTGAAGAGATCTATGGAAGGGACTGAGTAGGTTAAGATGGGGAAAGTCTTAAAGATGCACAGTAGCCTGGGTTTACATCACAGGAGGTTGGGGCCAGGGGCCGAATCCCCCTTTGTGTTCCAGTATTCCTCATCTGTACGGTGGGATAACAGCATCACCTAGGTCATAAGCCACCGGAAAGAGTGCATGCTATAATGGTTCTTTTTAAATAATCCAGGAGGTACACGGTCAGGTGGCCTTCTCTCCCTCTTATTTCAGAAGAGAAAGTTTCAGGAATCCTGATATCTCTGAGACTTGCACAGTGCTGTGGGGCTAGGGAGTGGTGAAGGGAGGGCAAGGACCTGCCCACTGACACTTCCTGCCTTCTGCCAGCTACACACAGAAATCCTGCCACCTTCCATGGGTAGGACCTGAATCTACTAAGTTTAGATTCCACCCCTAGCCTATAGCTTACTGTAAGACTCTATATATGCTCCACCATGAACCTTCTATTGGCTTCTTGATTTGTGTACTGAGAGACATGGCAAAGTCTTAGTGTTTGTGGTGATGTGCAGAAGTGTCTAGCCCAATGCTTGTCACCCCCCTTTTCTCCTTCTAATCACTGGCTTTTCTACAGGGCCCGGCACAGGGCAAGGGAGCATTCAGAAGATATGTGTTAGCCGTATGGCCAATCAGGTTAAAGCAGTTATCTTCTAACAGAATACAACCTGCGTTTTAGCAGAGAATAAAGTGGGCCATAACTGTCCTCAGGACCATGCAGCTCCCTCTTCTGGCTGTTAAGCTGCCTTTATCAACACATGCATGTCTTTCCATCTCTCTTAGCCTAAGAGCCAATGTACCTGCTATTCAATGAGTGTTGAGTCTCTGTAGACCAATGATAGTAGCGATGGAGATGGTAAAGAGGACAGTAATGGTAAAGAAAATGAAGATGATGGAGAGGATGGTGGTGATGAGAAAAATGGCTGTCTTTTATAGGTACTCACTCTGTGCCAGGAATGGTCCTTATATAGATGCCCTTATCCAGAACTCATTATGCCAATGTGACCCATTTGGGGGTTACCGTGACTTAGTGTGGAGGCTATGGAACTCCTAACAGTAGGGGTTGGGAGTCAAATCCAGAGTCTACATGTTGAAATGTTTGAAAAGCCTTAAAAAGGGTCAATGATGACAATGCCCATACCAGTAAAACAACAATGACAACAACATTATAATTATTAAAGTGGCACCAAATGTTATAACACCAACTCCAAATTCTTGGGGTTAAACACAAAGATGAATTTCTTGTTCAGCTGTAGCTCCCTGATATGGAGAGGAGAATCTAGTGAATGGAGACCTCTCATGCAGGCTAGTGGGGCTCTGGCCTCTTTGGCATACAGTTACACTGCAGCAAGGACACTTTATAACCAGCTTGGGGGCGGGTAGGGATTACCTTACTTCTATCCATATTTCATTGACCAGAACTCAGTCACTTGGTTTTCCTTAGCTGCAAGGAATGTTGAGGAATGAAGTTCCTGATTGGATAGATTTTCTGAACAATAACTTCACCATGGAAGCACAGATCTTTGGGGTGATAGGTAGCCTTTGCTGTTACAGACAATACTAGTAGATACTAGCTGCAATGATGAAGGTCATGCTGCCCAGCAGCTACTATGTATGCTCATCAGTGCTGCACTAAGTATTTCTACAAATTATTTCTCAGTTTTCCACATCCAAAAGAGAGTGTGATGCCCACTCTACAGAGAAGGAAGTTGACTCTTAAGAGGGTATGTAGGATTTGCATTCTCGTTCAGCTAGCAAGTGCAGGTCCAAATTTAAAATCAGAAGGCTTAACCAGACCCAGACAGAAAGCAGAGCCTAGATGGAAAATGAAGACCAGACAGGGAACAAAGGACACGGAGGTGACAAGGGAGGGAGGGAGAAGGCACAGAGAGTTACCACAGGGTGCCTGGCTGTGCTGGCCATTGTTGAGCACATGCTGGGGGATTTGCAGCTGACCCTTTGGCAGGTGTGTTTGCTCAGCATGTAGTCTCTTCAGGAAACACGTGCAAAGCCAGCGTGCTTCTCAGAGCTGTCCATGGTAGGAGAAGGATGAGGGTAGACTTGCCTATCTCCTTCTTCCACTGGTTCAACTGCACTATTGTTCTGTAAGTTAATGCTACCCCTCCGCCCACCTGAGTAGGCTGGCACTCGCATTTCAATGTTGCTTTTTAGCCATGTTTCACAGGAGAGGGGCGAGCCAACGAGAGTAAGGCCAAGCCTCCAGGACAGGAAGGCACACATGGCCCAGTGTTTCAGCTTGGGACATCTAGCTAGGGCAGTGCTGTAGGGAGAAGCACGCTGGGACACAAAGCAGCCAGTAGAAGGTGGCATGTGTAATACAAAGTCTGTGGCTCATGCCTTGTTCCCCAAACACTTAATTTCTACTGCTTATTTAAAACCAAAAGAACTGTGACATGCAAATGAGGCTGGCCACCAAGAGGAATGATGACATGCTTCATACAGTTCCTTGTCGTGACCATTGGAAAGACATGATGTTCACACCAAACTGTGAAAGGGAGACTTACTGAGGATCCCACAGCCAGTTGGTAGAAGGGTGGCCCTTTCTGTGGGGACATCTCCTTACATCCCTTCAGGTTTCTGCAGAGGACCCCTCCTTTGACTTCATTCTGGCCAGCACTCCAATGCTTACGTTTGCTGGGCAGCAGCAGACCCAAAAGACCTTAAGATATCTGAGACTCAGGCATCCTTTCCAGCCATTCTTGTCCACTTGCTTGGGGGAGAGCCTTCCTTCCATGTACTAGTTTACCTTTGGTTCTGAGACACTTCAAATCCACAGATATAATTATCCTTATTGTCTGTAGAGCTGACCCCCAGAAAGCAGCATCTTGTCCAGACTTCCCACAAAAACCAGATCAGAGTGAGGGGCAAGCTTGAAAAGGTCCAATAATGAGCAGCGGGGAAAGGAATGGAGTCTGGCCTCCCCACCATCAAGCCTCTCCTCAACCCATTAGCATTCCTGAGGGGCCTCTTGGGAGATGAGGAGGGGGAAAGCACAGATGCCACGACTGTAGTTCCCCTTCTCCCCTCTTAGGTGTTCTCTTACCCTCAAAGGACACTGTTTCAGCCATGACAGCTCTGTTTCTGAAATTGGAGACCCCCTCAGAAGAGGAAGTGGCTGCAGTGTGGGTATTTTCCCAAGTGGCACTGCTTCCTCCCTAAGTTATTAAGAGAGGGTGAGGTGACAGGCATCAGGGAAGCCACAATGAGGCCTTAGGCCAGCACGCCACTCTCTGCTGCAGATAGCATGAACAATGTAATTTAACAGCTCATCATTAATGGGGAACGCAAGATAAGAACTCGCTTCACTGTCCAAAGGAGAGCTCCCAGGCTGGACTGAGTATGTGGTAATGTTTGCTTTCATGCCAAAGGCTGACAGGGTGGATTCCATTCTTGCCCCACTGTGTACCCCAGCACCCCCCCACCCTCTTAAAGAACAGGCTCTACTAAATTATCCGCTGACCCACATCCCTTCTAGAGAACACCAATCTCAAGAGAAGTACTGCGCCTGTTATTCCGCAGAATTGGTTAAACAAATCACAAGGCACGTTTCTAGTTCCCATCTTAATGGAGGAGGAAGGAGCGGTCATTTCTGAAAGACTAGAAGAAGTAATGTGGTAGGGATCTGTCATTTTGTAATTGTGTCTGTTTACTGTTGACAGGGCTGCTTATGCACAGGGCACTGATAGCCATTGGAGTGTGAGTGTGTGTGTGTTGTATATACATATGTGTACATGTGTTTATGCATGTGTATGTGTGTGCATGTATGTGGATATGTGTGCATGTATGAATATGTGTATACATGTGTGCACATGTATGCATGTATATGTATGTGCACAAATATGCTTGGTAGAGTATGTGTGTGTGCATACATATGTGCATGTACATATATGTGTATGTAGGTACTTGAACATGGATGTGTGCACATATATGTACACATGTGTGTGTTCCTGTATCTATGTATGTGTGTATGACATATGTGTCTCTTCCTGTTGTGCTCATAGAAGCCAGTGTAATCTGATCACATTTCTCCCCATCCAAAAATCTTTTGAGGACTACCAATTTCTCTTTATCGAGATGATCATCTCTAAGCAGTTCAGGCTCCCTCCAGCCTGCTTAGCTATTCTCTGTGGTCCAGCCATGCTGGCCTTTGTCTGGAACATACCATGCTCCATGCCATTCCAAGAACCTGTGTAACCTGTGTAGCTGCCCTTCCTTCTGATTATCAGAGACATCCTTCTCTGCGCCACCCCGACTATGCCCCTCAGCACCTCATTCAAATATCAGTTTCCCAAGAAAGTCTTCCTGGGTCCCTACATGTTCCCTGACATCACCTCATACATCTTGTATTCCACGCCATCAGTTTAAATTACGACACATAATTATTTGTGTGGTTAGTTATTTAATGCCTGTCGTCTACATTCTGCTGCAAGCTCTGTGACAGCAAGGTCAAATCACATCTGTCCCATCCTGGCTTCCAGAACACTCTGTCAGAAGATTCACTTGCTTTGTGATGAGACAGGGATGTTTGGAAATCGATCTGTAATACTAAGGAAAATGGTTGAAGAGCCAGCGAGTGGGGAAAGCGAGGCACATTTTCTTCATTCACTCTGTCAGAAACCAGGTCTTCATTGGCTATCTGCCTCCTGCCAAGAGTGTGGGGGCTGGGCACTCAGGATGCAGCCATTAACAAGACAGGTTCTCTTTGTATCTCTTTGTGTCTCATCTGCTGTGCTAGGTTACCCTTCTAGAACTGTCTGCTCCATCTGACTGTATGGACCTCAAGGCCCAGGGCCATGAGCTACCCAGTACTTGGTGCCTCGGGCATTCCTGGTACCAAATGAATGTCCACTGAAAGAATGAATGGCTGGGACTGTAGAGGTCTCCTTAGACAATCAGCCAGGGCCGTGACTGTCCCTCTCTTCTCCTTTTGGCCCCTCCACTACTCTCTGTCCCAAACTCACTAATCTCAACACCAGGAATGCTCACCCAGAACCTTCCCGACACAAATCTTCCTTCTTTGCCTGATTCTGACCTATATTGCATTCATGTCTTGTGTCCTTTTCTCCAAAATGACTTCCCTACCTGGGTGTCATTGGCCCAGGTCCCAAGACCCAGGCCAGGCCTAGATTTCTGCCATGGCTTCCCACAATTCCAAGAATTCCTGTCAATTCTTTTCCTTCCCACTGGACAGCAGCTTCCTGTGGAAGGCAAGCATGCTTAACATCGCACGCCAGGTCCTTGCTTAGCATGTAGCAGGCTTTGAATGAATATTTTCCAAGTAAGTGATCAAACAGATATTGGAGGGGCAATTGCATTTAAGACAAGAATGCCTTTACCTGTCTTTCAATTTTGTATCTTCAAACACATGAGCATTTTGCTGAAAACCCAAGCAGAAAGGTAAATTACTTTAAAGCATTTTGTATTTCAAATTAATTTTTTGGAATGGATTTGCATTGTCCTCGATGCTCCTCATCCTTCCTGACTCTACTTGCAGCCCCCGGTAATAAGAAGTGGTGTTGAGAACAAGCAGAAGATTCAGTCATGCTCACGACATGCAAGAAAAACGAATTCTGACATTTCCTAAGGATATTTTCAACAAGGGCTGGAACATGAGGATTTGTCAATAACCGCCAGCTACCTAGGAAATTGTATCAACTACAGTATCCATCCACACAAAGATACTCCTTGATCATGAAGTCTGTGAATGGGCACTCTGGGGGATGAGGAATAAACGTGGGTACCATGCAATGAGTCCCATTATACAGATTTTACTTCCTGAAGCTCACAGCCCATCTGTAAGCTCAATAGCATAGCTACACTCTCACAGCTCTCTTTGTCCTGGGCCCCGGCACATGGCTTCAGAAGCTCTTGGGTTTTTTGTTTGTTTGTTTGTTTGTTTTGGCTGATAAGGGTAGAGGAACATATTCGGGGGTCCATATATAAGCCAATTTAGCTGTACCCAAACTTCCACCATGGAGGGCACATCTGAGGATCCTTGAACAGGGATTATTTGACAGAGAATCCAGTCATGTGATTACAGAGTTGACACTTATATCCTGACCCTGTGACCTCCAAGGGAGGGAAGACAGCTTGGAGAGTGAGTCAGTGGGATAATGGATAATTATTTAATCAATCATGCCTGCTTAATGAAGCCCCTAAAAGACACACTAAACTATGGGGTTTGAGTAGGCTACTGGTTAGTGACAGGAAAGTGACACTTTCTAATTTTATGGCAGAAGCTCCTGCACCAAGATCTTTCTAGACCTTGTGCTGGGTAGCGATGAACCTGGCTAGTTATCTGAATCCCATACTATAAGCCACAAATGCAAGGAAAATGTCTTCCCCGGTCTTAGAGCCAATACCATGGCAGATTATTGAACCTGGGGAAGTGGTTGTGGGAGACACTAATTTATAGGCAGTTGGTCAGTGACACTAACTCCAGGCAGTTAGT